CCCCGCCCAGCCCGGCCGGGATTTTTCCGCCCCTCCTCTCCGCGCCCCTCCTCTCCGCTTCCCCTACTCGCGCGCGCTCTCTCCTCTCCCAGGGTTCATTCATATTATTAGCTTGAAGGAAGCCAGGGCAGGGTTCCCCGGGAGAACTGAGAGGAAGCGTCTCCAGCCACCTCTCCTAACTGACTAGAGCGCCCAGCCTCCCCTCTCCCTGGGGATTCTGATTTGTGGAGTGTGCTGTGCATCTGTGTGTTGTCCCTGCTTTGCCCGGGACGTATTTGTGCCCCTACCCTGCCGTGAAGGTGTAGGCCAGACTCACATTTCCAGAAGTCCCAGATGTGCTCACAGCTGGGAGTCATACGTTACAGGCCAGGCCAGGCCTTGGCCACCCCGTCCCCAAGCTTGGTGGCTCCTTCGGCTCCTTCAGCTCTTCCTGCCAAGCGCTGGGAGGCCTGGGACTCTGGGTGGCCCTAAGATGGGGCTGGCCTCCCCCACCACACTTCTGCTCCCAGAGACCAGGAGCGCCCCTGCCGGGAGCGCCCCTGCTGTATTTGATTCAAACATTCCACCCTCGTGTTTGGTTGACATACAAGATTTTTTTGTTTGTTTGTTTTTGTTTTTCCCGGTACTGGGAATCGAACTCACGACCTTGCGCTTGCCAGGCAGGCGCTGTGCCGCTGAGCTAAATCCCCAGCAGCCCCGTGTTTGATTGAAGCATTTCCCTCTTCCTTGCTGCTCTTTCTCAGTACCTGTGCTTGTTCCTGCTTTGGCTCTACTCGAGCTTAGCACGCTTTCTGTGCCTCCCCTGTCTTGCCAGCCTCTGCCCAAGCCCTGCTGGCTTCACTTAATTGCCTTTGCTTCTGGCATGGCCCCAGCCTGGACGCACTCCCTTCTCATCTGAGCCAGGCAAGAGGCCTTCAGCACCCAGCTCCAAGCCCTCCCTCCCTTCAGGAGGCCTCACAGACCAACACCGGGCAGTCAGTACTTCTTCACCTCTCCTCTGCCCGAGAGCCTGTAGGCGTCCTTCAGGGTGTCCTGTAGGACGCTGCTCTGGACCCTAGGCGATCGAAGGAGGTGTGCGGAGAGCTGCTGACCTTGCAAGATGAAGCTTAAATGTCACATTTTGGGTGGCATCTTCCCAGCCACTCTCCAGAGACGATTACCCCAGGCAGGAACCGCTGCTGTCCTTCCCGCAAGATTCTGAGACTTCCCTGTGCCTGGCTGTATGGGAAGTGCTTAACAAATGTTCGCTAAGTAAGAGATGTTTGTTGCCCCTGGGAAAATTACAGTCTGCCTGGGGGAGGGAAGATAGAAGTAAAAGGGGGAAACCGTTACAAAGTCATGTAACCCCAGGACCAGGCTGGCTGCATCACTTAGCATTTGTTGGTCCCCTTCTCCTGCCTTTGGGTGTCCGTCCTGCCTTCGCCAAGGGTCATTACCTCTGTTTCTTTTTTTATTTTATCACCACCTGGTGTGCACACAGCAGGTGTCTGAGTGGACCGGAAGGTATGAGATGGCTTCCTCTGGCCCAGAACAAGGCTGCTCCCCTCTGTCCCTAAGATCCTTAAGATTAAGCTAAAATTCTATTCTCAGAAGCCATGAGAAAGGTAACTCTCAAGCTTTTCTTTTAGGAGCAGATCCTGCTTTCACAGAAAATCTTAAACAGAATTGCAACATAGATAAGCCTGACTTCCACCACCAGCCCTGTAGGTAAGGTAAAGAGCTCAGTCTGTAGCCATCCGCCCACACTGCCCCCGGCCAGCTCCTAGAGCACCTGTGTGAACCCCGGGTTCAGTGAAAGCCTACATCCCAAGCAAGCATTACAAGTTACATCTCCTTTAGCCCTTCCTGTGGGCTGCCTTCCTCAGGATCTGTGGGAGACACGGAGAAAGTGACAGAAACTCAACCTCCTTGCAGGGGTTGGGGAAGAGAATCTTCATAAGCTCCCATTAGGCCGGGGACATGACATATGGGCCGTGAGACCCTCCTTTAAGCTAAGCGCTTCACACGTCAGTGCCGCAGGAGATGGAACTAAACTTTTCATTCATCAGAGCCGTATTCGACCAGTTCTAACATCTCACTCACAGAGTCCATTTGAGGGAGTTTAGAGAGCGCTGGACCAGGAGCCACAAATGATCCATCTTCGCCGTCGGACTGGCTCTCGGGGAACTAGCCAGCTGATCTGGACAAGCCAAGCCCCCCTGGGGGAGAGACACCTCTCCGGTCCCGCCTTCCAGAATTGCTTTGAGGGCCACAAAAGCAGCCTTGCTTATTGCATGCACTTTGCAGCCATCTGTAGAGTGAGTAGTAAACACTGTCATGTCTGCCCTTTGTTCGGAGGCAGCTCCGGATGCTGTCTGGGGATGCATCTTACGCACTCTGTTAATCCTTCTTCATGCAGCTGGGGAAGCTGAGGCGCAGAGAAGTTGAGTAACTTGTTCAAGGTCTCACACCTGCGAGGGTCAGATCCGAGCTCTGCCAGAATCTTTCAAGGACACCGAATGTCTCTTTGCTGATGTTTGGTGCTAGTGGGCTTCCTTGCTGTTACCTGTTAATTTCAGGGGAACCCCGTGGGTGCTTGGCAGTTTGCCTTCCTGTAGGTGGGCACTTGACCGGCAGCTGTGGTTGGTCCTGTGACTGTGAAGGTGTAGGCTGTGAAGGCAAATAAGGACGTGGCCGCTGGCAAAGGGATGTAGGGCAAACTCAGTCCTGCCTGAGACCATGCATCATGCCTGGGTGAGCACAATATAAATCCGGAAATTTCTGTTTATCCAGATTACAGAACTAAATGGCAGGATTTCACCGGTGTTGAAGGACTCTAGATTTTCAGCTTCCAAATCTGAGAGGGATGTATCCCCCTCTCAGAGCTAGCTGAAGGCCTTGGGCTGCTTTTGTTGAGACACCGTATACCTGACATGTTGTCCTAGGGGGCCTCCAGTATAAATGGTACTGCTGGGGGAGGGATCATCTAATCACGCATATTATTACCTCTCTGGACAGCTGAGAAAGTGGGGCATTTGACAGTGTGTTGAACCAGGCCTCCAGAACTGTATTTTTCAACCCAGGGTGTTTAATTCTTTTCCCTCTTCTCTGGATCATTTGGGTAATTACCACAATTCCGCGCTTTACTTAGGCTGTGACGATAGTGAAGCCATAATGAGCGTGAACCGTCACAATCCCAAGTCCAGGGTGAAGCAGCCAGGCGGGCTTCTGCGGCAGCCAAGGGAGAGGAATACAGTATTAGGCTGCCCACGCTGCATAATGTGCACGTCAAAGCCGGCGAGCAGGAGCAGGGAGCGGCCCTCCACCAGCCAGGGACACAGGAGTGCTGTGTGTGTTGGCTTCAGAAGCTTTTATTAAAGGCTTTGTTTTCCCCCATTGTCCTCCAGAGATAATGACCTTTGTGTGGCAACTTTTTGTAATATCTCATTTCTATGCCCAAAGCAGATGGTTCCTGTGATTTCAAAAGGCTTAGTGGGGGGATTTCGGGAGCCTGGGTGATATCTCGGGTGAATAGACAGAGTGATTTTGAGTTTCTATAGCCAAGGGCTGGGGATGAGTCTCAGAAGGTTTCCGGGGCTTGGCTCCGAGGGGGAGGCTTATCTGCAACCCATCCAGGCTGCTCTGAATCTGAGAAGAATGCCTGGAGATCTTGGTGCTGAAAGCTTTTGCCTCCATCAGATTATGCATATTGCAAGAATGACTTTCTCCCTTCGCTATTTCAGTAGGCTCCTTTGAGAGATCGCGCAAATCAGAAAATGCGACTGGGCTTTATGAATTCAGGTTTATTCCATTTCATTTTCTTATCGCTGATATCCCATTTGAGCTGGATACACAGCGTTCTGTGCCAGCTGCACCACAATAAAATGGTGGCACGCCCCTGGAAGTAGCAGAAGCAGCACCCCAGGTGTGCGGAGAGGGAAAGCGAGTAGCATTTAGTGGGTGCTCTCTGGGAGACCCTCGCTTTGTGGCCTCATTTCCGCTCACCATGACAACAACCCTAAAGGTGGTCACCTTTACCCACAGTTTGTAAATGATGAACTTGCAGCTACACTGAGTAAAGGCTGGGGTACGATTTGAACCCAGCTCTGCTTGGAGCAGCTATGTTCGGTAGCTACTAACCGGCACCCCAGCCTCCGAGGGTGCCTGCTCTGCTTCTTCCCCGACAAATTCATCCAGATGAGATTAAGTTAAAGGACTGTCAAAGTCACATAGGGGTGGAGAGGTTAGGAAACGCTGCATCTTACAAGCCAGGAGGGGTAACGCAGTCCGCTCATTTATTTCCTGGACAGGTAGGGCTGAATGGGGCTGGTGGTAAGTACTAGAAGCCACTGGCCTTCAGCGCTCACCCTTCTCCCCTGCCCTCCTGGCTCCTACCCCACCATCTGCGCTGCAACTGGCCAGAGCTGAAGGCCCTTAACCCAGGTGCTCTGTGCAGATCTCCCAGGAGACAGCTCTGGCCTCGGGCATCTCACGGGCATTTTTCATTTATTGTCTGTGGGAGGAAAACCCAGCACCCCGCTGCCAGTGTTAAATACCGAACAAAACAATGAACTGTGTGAGTG